CTGTAATAATGCAGGGAACCACTCGTTATAAATCTCCTAACTGTGATATTTTCAGAAATAGAAGTCGCGTTTTTTCATCTGAAACGTGCTGCGATTTATTTTCCAAAGCCACTCATATAATGCAGAAACATTCAAGAAAGCAAAACACGTGCAACGCGTGCAGGTATTTGTACTGATGCAGAATAGTACAGCCTAGCGCATGTCACACAAGCTGCTAGTTTCACTTTCGCCAGAAAGTTGTGTATGCCCAAGGTTAAAAATAAATGACATTTATAGTGAATGCCCCTATAAATGGTCTTATTTTTACGATTTAGTTTTAATCCAAATGATGCGCGTGCTAAGTGAGTGAACATCAAATATCACACAACAGAATTGCGCGCGCTCTCTCTCTCTCTCTGTCTCTCTCTCTCTTTACCGTTTAGTAACTTGTGCATTGTTTTACTTACTTGTTTGTGACGTATCCGACCGAACTACAAACTTTCCAGTGATGTCTGTGAGAAAGGTATATTCACTCGACAAGCTCGCGCATCTGCGCCGCCGCGCGCTCAATCCACTCATATACTTAGTAGACATCCTTAATCTCTAATAACTCCATTCTGCTGTCTGTTGTCTGTGTTTCATTGTCTGAACATGGCACTTATCACATGCTGTGTGGTATCGGCGTTTGGTATGGGGCATTTTAACGAGTATGAGTACAGGAGCTCAGTATCGGGCCCGATACCGATACCAGTATCGGTATCGGTGCATCCCTAGAATAAACTGATGGAACTCACACTAGATCTTGTGACCAACAGAGTATTCCAGAGAGACTGAAGAACTTAAAGAAATTGATGAGCAGCTTAAGGTTCTCACCGACAGGAAGATTGAACTGGAGAATAGGCAAGACAGTTCAGGAGGCACTCATTTAATAGGTATGACACTCTGAGGTTTGATATCTTGAACAGTATTTAGGAAATATACTTAAACATTTGGAATTTGCACTCTGTAATTGAAAATATAGATCATGTCATTTTCATATGTCCATACATTTTTATTATTTCAGACACAACTGTTTCATCTGGTGTAATAATTATAGACAGTCCGCCGCCTTATCCAGGTTAGTAGTCTATACACTAGATTCATTGATGTGAGGTGAGATGAGTTTTTTGAGATGAGAGACAACTACAGTAATACAAAATCCAACAGGACCAGAGCTTCCTGAAAGCGACTCATGTTTGTTTTTCTCAGCTCCTCAGGTGATTCTGGATGTTCAGCAACTCCCTCGACACTCGACTCAGACGCAGTGTCCATTCTGTCACCAGTATATAACCACAGACATCACAACCAAAGCTGGCAGTGCGGCCTATATTGTGTGTTTAATTTCCATTCTTTTTTGGTGAGTTGAACTCGTCATCTGATATTTTACTTTATTTGCTTTACTCTAATTTGCGTCCCCTATTCCATTATGTGATTACCAGTTTGTTATTCTATTATGGGGTTAAAGATGACATATTTGTGTTCTTGACTGTTTCTTGTGTAGTTGTATAGCTGGCTGCTGTGTAATCCCGTTCTGCATGGATGGATGCAAAGACATCGTTCACAAGTGTCCAAAATGTCGTAGTCACATAAAAACATGCAAAAAGCTCTGAGGACTGGAATTTTTTGAATCCCCTTAATGTGGAGTGAACTGAAAAGGTTGCTGGAATGGTTTCAGGCAATGTCATCTTGAACGTTTTACAGGGACGATCCCCATG